TCATGATTGAAGTAGAAACAGGAGAGGGAGGGGGAGAGAATGAGAGAAGAAGAGGCAGCTGTGCAGCGTAAACACAGAATAACTCCAGCTTTGTGTCTTTTTCATTGTAGCTGAAGTCCGGGACAAACTGTGTGTCTTTTCACCTCAATACAAAACGCGTGATATTTTCTCTGAATACGGGATGTTTCCGTTTTTTACGGGATGGTTGGCAAATCTAATAATTAATCTTATGAACAAAAGAAAGTTCAACATCAGTAACATAGCACCCACCCAGCTGTATTGAAACTCCGTCATGCTAGCTAGCACGCAGTACGAAAAAGTCAGCATAACGAAAATAAACAACACCTAAACTTGGTTCTATATCTGACCCAGATAGACTGCAGGTCATAACTTCTTACCTGAAGCTCAGTTCACCTGATACTTGGACCGGCGGCCGCCTCGGGTCTCCTGCTCCTGGGCCCCCTTTCCCTCATCCACCTGCTGGCCTCCACCACTTGCTAATGTTACTGAATCTGTGGAAGCTCCGCGATAGCCACCACACGAAGTAACGAATAACGACCCTATCTAAATCCCAGTAACGATTAACGCATTCCTGATTTTGGCATAATAACTAAACCGTGCTCGTTACCACAATAATAACGTAGTTACTGTAATGCGTTACTTAATAACGAGTTAGTCCCAACACTGGACACAAAGCAGCTGGCTCTTCAGATTTCTGCTGCGTATGCTTTTTGTTTAATCCCATTATTGCTTGCTAAAATTTGTTGCACATTTAATATCACAGTTAATTACTGATGCACCTGGTGACACTGCTAACAGTGACACTCCAAATATGGTCATATCCTATTTCAGTATTTCAGCCTGTCTCTAGATAGACATTAACTGTGCTGCTCTTTATTCCATCCCCATCTTGGTGGCTGAATTCAGTGTTTCATTTTCTTTCTCCAGACAGTCACTACAGATGACTAGGACACCTCCTCTTTCTGTTCCATCACCAGGTGATGCTTTAGATGTTCTCGAGTGCAGAACTTAGGTCTCTCTGTGGTGTCTGCCCGAGCACCACACACACTCAACAGCAATACTATCAGAGTTTTAGCAGCCATTGCTGAGGAATACGGTCTTTGTAGATGAAGTGCTGCTCTCCGAGGTGCTGTTTCCTCTCTTATTTCCACTGCTCATTGTCAGCCAAGCTGTGGGGAATCAGACAGATGTCACACAGTATCAGTAAGGAAGAAAGTTGAGAGACAATTGGGGATTTTCTGACATTTCTCTGCATGATCTATGATAATTACTAACAATATTTTGAATGTCTAATTGATAGTGCCATCGTATTATTTCTATGGAAAATGTTCATAAATGTCCCAGTCAGTCCGTCTGTGTTTCTTTCGGCATTTCTGACTTGAAATCTTACACATTCCACTTCCACTCTGGCCTGAACAAACTTCTGAGAGAAAGATTTTCCTATAAATGCTCGATTTTCTTCACCAACGACTCTGTCTGTGACCATCTACTCTTTACTGCTGCTGTGGGAGTGAACAAAAATAGTAAAGTTTCTTAAATTAAATTTAAATTTTATTTAAATTACATTAAAAAAGGACCCTCCATCATGTCTCAGAGCTCTCAGTCAAGTCTATCAGGCTCCTGTGAGTGACTCACTGATGTGCTGCCTCGGACTGAGAGCTAGGAAACATGGCAGAAACAGCAGTTGAAACTGACGCATACTGGAAGTTCTATAAAGGCGTGGACGTTTGGGTGAAAATGAACTCGAAAATCACTATTAAATTCGCTATTGAGTTTTTGCCAGTTTATGTTCCTCGCCAGGGGGCTATTATTGACATCCATCTGTCAATACTGGCGAGCCAGGAGTTCTTTCACAAAAAGAATATGAAAGCACTTCAAAGAGCAGATAGAGCAGCCATTTACAGCATTTATGATATTGATCAAGGTTCAAGTTCAACCCCCACGTGCTGTTTTATCATTGACTCCCTTGATATTGATATCAAAGGAGCTCCAAGTCCGACAGCTCCTGATGAAGACTCAACGCACTTAATTTTTATCATGTCCTATCAAACAGTTTTTTCTGTTTTAATTACACTCCCTTGTGCCCAGGACAGCCTGAATCCTTTACTGAAGTGCTCCACCGAAGCACACAGACTTATGCACTGTGTTCGAAGAAAACCTCGAAAGTAGACTTTGAAGAACTGGAAAGCATTACCCATTTAGTTTCTCCACCCACATCATTCAGCAGCAACTGCTTTCAAAGGTTATCTTACTGCAAAATTCAATATTTAGAACTATTTGTCATCCCTAATAGGCAAATACAGGGCAAGCGCA